CCCCCCCCCAAAGCAGCTAATCAACATTAGTTCAAAAGATGCAGCATTCCTGAGGGAGTCTCTGACAAACATTTGACAGCACTCATTTTTATAAAGTGCACATACTTTTTTGACTGGCTTGGTAGATATCCAAGGAAGCATAGCACTGAACCTGCCTGAAAGAGTTCCCACACTTGTATTTTTGCATGTGTGGTGTTGACAGAAAAGTGAATAGAAAGACAAATGATAATAGGGATGAAACATACATTTGCCATTTTTTACTGTGCTGCAGAGCCATCAGAAATGGTTCTACAAAGCCCATAAAAGCAATAGTCTTTTCCTCCAGCTTGAAATAATAATCTTTCAACACCAAAGTAATTTTTAAATAAACAGTGGCAGAATAAGATAAATAGGCAAGCTTTCCCAAGCTTCTTGCTTCATTTCCTTTTTTCACACCTTTTAACTTTGGGTGTTTGCATTTAACAGCAGGTGCAATCATCCAATAAATGACTTTACTACTATAAATCCTAGCTAGCTCACACCAATTTAATTCTATTAGTATAATTCTAGAAATACTGCTATAAGCAACTGTGTCCCTTAGAAAATATTCTTAAAACATGTCAATATGTTTTTGAGTCTGGTATTAAATAGTCTAGTAAGATTAAACAGTCTAGTTTTCATAGGATTTTTTAAAATTTGTTACTTATATAAAGAAGATACACAAACTGTCTATAGCACATTTTACTCTGCTCAGGAAGGTAGACAGGGACCTTTCATTTAAATCAGCTGGTGAGCTTCTTCCCCCCCCCACCCCTGTTTTCAATGTATAACACTTCTCCTCCTCTGGAAATTAAAATACATTAAAATTTGATGTTATTCATGGTGTCATTTTTCATTTTAAGTCTGAAAATGTTTTTTAAAAAAGAAAAAAGAAAAAAGACTCACACAGCCAGACATTTTCAAGGAGATAATGGAGGCTAAAGGAAGAGGTCACAAAGGACACTGGGTTTTAAAGAGCTTTGAGCAAAATCCAACTTTAGTCCTGCTTACAGCAGAATGAGGGAAATGGATGCAACTTGTTAGTCATAACTAACTTAAGTAAGTGCCATTAATTTTAATAGGTTGTCTGTAAAACTGTTAGATGTAGGCTTAAGAAACTTCTGGGAGGGATTTGTTGAAAAGGCAGAAAGTACCGTTGGAATTTATGGAACTGAACTCTGGAGAGATATTGCAGAATCTAGGACTAGAAGGCATGCATATTGTTGATAAGTGTAGTAGACAAGAGGCAGAAATATTTGCTGGTTAGGCACTATCATGTAGAGAACAGGGGATGCATAAATTATTTCTTTTATGATTTGATGTAGAATTATAAAGGGATGTTTTACTAAACTATGGGAAATACTGGGTTAGAGGTACAGTATTATGCTGAAATAAAATGTAAGTAAGTGCCATTTAAGTGCCATTAATTTATTTCAGCAATATATGCTGAAATAAAATGATCTGTAGTTCTTTCAAAGAAAGGTAAGCAAAATTGTTTTATTTGTTCATTCTTGCCATCCATAGTTGCAGAATATAATTTTCTTTTTTTAAGTATAGCATTGTATATTCCCAGAACAATACAGTGTGCAATAAAATTCCTAACCCCATCATTACTGGTTTTTCATATATATGAATTAGGCACAATTCCCAAGAGTCTCTCTTACACAAGCCAACTGATGTGAAAGGGAGTTGCGCAAGGCAGCAGCTGTGTTTCTGTGTGGCTTCCATTTAATTCTGGCTCTACCCAGGAGATATTGCCAATAGATTGTGCCCACCTAAAAAAAAAAAAAAAAGAACATATGCAGCCGGGGTGTGTGTGAGTAATCTTAACAAGCTTACAAGACAGCTTTTGTGCTTCTGATCACTGGTAACAGGATCATGTTGGGAAGTTGGGAGGGAGGAGAGATCCATTTCTCTATCTCCTTTTACATACCAAATAAAGCAGGCCCTCAACTTATTTTATCTGATCTAGACAAAGAAGATAGCTTAAATCTACTATAATTAAATAATAATTTTATTTACTGGAAAGGGATGAGGCAAAGTATATTCCTTAAGAATAACATAACTACACCTTTTCCCCCAAAAAATCATTACCTAGAATTGTGACTAGTTTCTGAAGTGCAAAGCTGTTGACTTATATCTCAAGTAACAGCTGTACAAAGATGCCTCTGTGAGCAGCTTTACTTTGTATGTATTCTCAGACAGATAATCCCTTTTCAGTCCAAGTACTTTTGTTAACATGTTCACTGAGGAGCCTCCCTCCCTCCCTTGTGATAGTTCTTGTTACTTTAGGTTCAAATGACAAAAAAAGGAAATCCTCAAAATAATGACTCTGAGATATCTATGCCCTTCTACAGCTACAAGTGTCACTGAAGATATCTTGGTTTCTGAGTGAAAGAGAACAATGAAGTGCAGTGTATCTGGAGTCCTATAACACTGTGGTGTGTGTGTGTGTGTGTGTCTGTAAGAACAAGAATGTTGGTGCTGTTATTTGGCAGTACTGTATACTTATATTCTGACATTTCAGCTGCCATACTGCTGGAACATGAGTAATAAAACCTTAGTGAAAGACTGGTGAATGTATCTTTCTTGTATTCTGGCTATTGAAACAGCTGTTTTGAATGCAATGGAATGCATTCTCGAAAGTAAGATCTTTGGTGGGGAGGAATTTTTCGTGACTCAGGTCTTCAGCCTTTCATCTTGTTTCCCTAATACATGTACCTGACAGTAAGGATGGAAGAATATTAGTTATTATTCATTATTAGGTTGAAAAATGGGGCTCCCAACCACTGGGAAACCTCATCAGAAATAATTGTAGATCAAGGAGAATCTTGTGGAATTGCCATGTATTTGAATATCCCAAAGTGTTACAGAGGAATTACTGTGTATACACACACACACGCACACACAATTCTTTGGCGCTTTCAAGTTCTTTCCAACTTATGGCAACCCTTAGGTGAACCTATCATGGGGGTTTCTTGACAAGATTTGTTCAGAGGAGGTTTGCCATGGCCTTCCCCTGAGGCTGAGAGCATATGACTTGCCCAAGGTCACCCAGTGGGTTTACATGGCTGAGCTGGGATTCAAACCCTGATCTCCAGAGTCATAGTCCAAAGCACAAACCACTGTGCCATGCTGGGGAGATTACTCTGGCGTAATGTCAATTTTCTTCCAAACCCGAGAGAAAACTAGTGTAATTATTTTCCCCATGTGCAGGGATGAATAGTCAAGAATTAATATTCCTCCTGACAAACTGTGGCAAATTAGATTAAGTGGAAGTGGTAGTTTTTAATATATGGGATAAGTTAGAAGAATGCTATGTTAAGTTTGTATGTGTTTATTTTAGTTTCCCCCAAAGGTTCTTCATTTCTACCTTTTTTCCTTTTCGTTGATAAAACATAAAACTCTTTCCAACTGAAATCCCTTGACAGAAATGTAAAACATGTTGCTGTTGATATATAATGCAAAGAATCACAAAGGGGTAGACTGGAAAGTCACTTAAATAAAAGCAAAAGTTATGTTGGTCATTTATTTATTTATTTATTTATTTATTTATTTTTAAAAATTAATTGGTCTTGGACAAGCATTTGGACAAGCTGAAAACAATTGTTTGGCGAAATCCATTTGTTGGATCCACTGAATTGATGGACATTTGATAACTCAAAACATATGTACTGTTCTATCAATTCAATGGGTATACTTTTGTAATTGTGACTAACAGTTGCATTTAAACTTTAAAACCCTAAGCTTTCAAGTATTAAACAGCAATTAAAAGGAATAAAATATATGCATGTTATTTGCCATCAAAGGCAGGTTTGAATAGGTTGAATTATATAGATTACTGTGTTGTAGTTGTAAATCCCATTATCTGCTTGGGAAAAGCTACCTTGGTTCTGAAAGTGATCTGCATGCATGGTTGCTCAAAGCCACCTGTAGACCTAAGGCGGATTGGAAGTCATGCCAGAGATTGTTGGAATGCAAATCCCAGCAGCTGTGTCCAGCATAGACACTGGTGAGGCATGTTGGCAGTTGCAGTCCAGCAGCCTCTGGAGGACCATGTGATGGTCATCTTGGTGCAAAGACAAATGAGGGAGAAACTTATTTGAAAGTAAATGAGTCCAAATGACCTGCTTTCCCGCACACTGGACCACTATGAGGAAGTGTTTCCAAAGAAGCAAGAAATTCTTCAGAAAGCACTTCTCCTAATAACAAATCACATTTAAGAGACAAAAGAGGGAATGTCAATATTCCAAAAGGGGAATCAAATTTATAAGTGGTCAGTAATAGGGGGGTGTAGCTACTGGGCAGGGGGACGAAATAAGATCATTCCCCCCCCCCATAAGAATTCTCCCTCATTGAAATTTTCCTTCAGCCTCCAAATTACTAGCATTTATATAACTTAAAACTTCAGTTGAACATTTAGAAATACAATTTAGGCTTCCAAAAGAAAGGAAAAGGAAGGGGAATTAAAACATAGGAAATATATGACCAGTAGGTATGAACAATTTTCAATGTCTTCCTTTCTCCAATGTTGGGGACTGAGGGAAAATTTCATGGAGATCAGAATTCTTATTTGGCAATGATCTCATTCCCCCCCCCCCACCGTGATAGCTATACCCCTTTCAGTGCTTCAGTGTAAGCAGAAGCCTTGTGTTTGACACAGAGATAAGCCACCATCTTCACTAGTCATGATGTGATCTATGAAGTCTGTGAGCAATCTGTATTTGAGTTTCCAAGAAATCACATCTATTTAAACAATGACTAAATTAATATTTTCATTTTCCCCTTTGAGATAAAGAATGGGTAATGCCAGAGAATGGAAATATGGATAAAATAGATAAAACTGAGTATGAGGGTTCCAGTTTTTGGTAACAAGTGATGAGCTTTTTAGTAAAATTACATAAACTGG